TTCGTAGAAGTTTTTATAACACTATTGGACTCGACATTTTCATCATTAGTTAATCATTGCTAAGGATCAAAAGTTCATGAAGGTTTGAAATAAAGTGCAAATACATACATACATATATATATATATATATATATATATATATATATATATATTATTATTATTATTATTATTATTATTATTCGCCCTCTTTAACCTTCTAAGTTTCTGTCCTAGAGAAACAAGATGCCTCACACGTTTCATGTACAATTTCATTTTCAAGTCTTTTTTCACTGCTCTTTGGACTGTCATAGCTGAAACTCCTTTCTCACGTGCCAAATTGGATTGAGTTAGATCTTTTCTAATTTCTCTCTTTAGCTCTAAGTTGAAATGACGATCCCTCTTTCTGTTGTGTCCTCCTGATCCAGTTTTCCTCGCTACAGTTCCTTCTTTTTTAAACTTATTCTCTTGATGCTTCTTGAATGGACTTTGAAAACAGAAACCAGACTATGAATGTTGGTACCATTACTGAAAGCCTGAATGATTTTTCCTCTCACCATTGCTCAGTTGGGAAGATATAGTGGGGAAGACACAAAACAATTTTAACCTGTAATCTTTCTAGCTGAATAACTCAAAAGGTTTTTCTATGATTCTTACGACAAATGGCGTCAAGATGGCTAAACGTCTCATCTGTAAGCCTGGAAAAAAGTAACTCAATTAGTTTAGCGTTTTTTTTTTTTTTTCTTAGATATTAAACATTTTGTGGTGGGGGGACAATTATCCCATGCTGTTACACGATATGGACAATTTTACTGTTACACCGGGTATACACATATATTTATTTATTTATTTATTTTAATGAGTATATTTAATTCATTTGGGAAAAAGATAGAATAATGCAGGAGATTTACTGGGAACAAAAAGCCTGCACACGAATAGAAAATGAGCAAGTACACAAAAAGGTGCGCCAGACAAGGATGCAGGATGCGCCTTTTCAGTAGAACTATTCAAATTTTACAGCTAGACGATCCTAAGACAAATAGATATTCTACCAGGATTTCTTATTGGTGAGCACAATCTGAAAAACACAATGCAGGTATCTGTCTATATTTCTGAGATGAGGTATTATGTACACTATTTACATTATTCGGACTATTGTCCTCATCTTTGTCACCATATTTATTACAATGTTTCGGCCTTTCAGTATCTGTCTATATTTCTGAGATGAGGTATTATGTACACTATTTGTATTATTCGGCCTATTGTCCTCATCTTTGTCGCCATATTTATTATAACGTTTCGGCCCTTCAGTATCTGTCTATATTTCTGAGATGAGATATTATGTACACTATTTATATTATTCGGCCTATTGTCCTCATCTTTGTCGCCATATTTATTACAACGTTTCGGCCCTTCAGTATCTGTCTATATGTCTGAGATGAGGTATTATGTACACTATTTATATTATTCGGCCTATTGTCCTCATCTTTGTCGCCATATTTATTACAACGTTTCGGCCCTTCAGTATCTGTCTATATTTCTGAGATGAGGTATTATGTACACTATTTATATTATTCGGCCTATTGTCCTCATCTTTGTCGCCATATTTATTACAACGTTTCGGCCCTTCAGTATCTGTCTATATTTCTGAGATGAGGTATTATGTACACTATTTACATTAATCGGACTATTGTCCTCATCTTTGACGCCATATTTATTACAACTTTTTAGCCTTTCTGAGATGAGGTATTATGTACATTATTTACATTATTCGGACTATTGTTCTCATCTTTGTCACCATATTTATTACAACGTTTCGGCCGTTGTACGCTCCGGCCTCCTTCAGATGGTTGGAATATCGAACTGAACCCTTTATTTCGCTCACTGGGGTAAACTGTTCTAATTTCACATGCCATGTCTAACGGATATCAGTTATCAGTTATCTCCTGTTAATTTTTGTCTATGATCTCAACCTGATCTCACAAAGAACACAGTAACCAACGCCTTTATCCACTGTGCCATGTGTCCTCGAGGACATCTGTGTATGAATTCCTGGGTATTATAAACCTAATGTCTTCAGCAACCGTTTTTTTACCACTGCTCATATTGTAATTTTTGCTGTTATCATTGCATTATCTCTTTGAGATTATAGACAAAGAATACTATTGGAAAATTCGTAAAATTAAGGAATCAGCACATATGCTAGGCTACAAAAATCTCCTGAGCCGACCAAGCATAGAAATGAATACAATATGGGAACCAGTAATAAGGAGCGCTAAAGAAAAGCAATAATAACAACAAAAATTGTAATATGAGCTCTGGTAAAAACATGAACTGATAACAGCAAAAAATTTCAATATGAGCACTAGTAAAAAAAATGGTTGCTGAAGACATTAGGTTTATAATACCCAGAAATTCATACACAGATGTCCTCAAGGACATATGGCACAGTGGATAAAGGCGTTGGTTAGCTCCAGTTGGTTAGCTTTTATTTATTTATTTACAATATTTATATTCTGACTATTGTCCTCATCTTTATTGTTGTCATCACAAAGTTTTGGTCACTGTACCCTCGGGCCTTCATCAGGTGTAGGATACCCAGATCAATATACACCTGAAGAAGACCTGAGGGTACAACGGTCGAAACGTTGTGATAACAACAATAAAGATGAGGAGAATAGTCCAAATATAAATAGTGTAATGATAACTCCTCATCCCAGAAAATCAGACAAAATATATTTTATTTGTAATTGCCACATTTTTCTTTTGCTCTCAATTGCAACATCTATGTAGTGTTCCTTCAGTATGTGGGTGATCATGGCTCTCCACAACTTCCTATCTTTTGTAACTCTGAGTAATGATTGTCGCTTTACTAACCCTCCCAGTCTCTGTTCTGCCATTCATTTACACAAGCTCATTAGGTAGTTTGATCATGGCTCTCCACAACTTCCTATCTTTTGTAACTCTAAGCAAAGTTTGCCCTTTACTATTCCTCTCATTCTCTTTCTGATTCAGAATAAAACTGTCCGCTTTGTTTCGATTTTCCTTCAAGTTTTCTCGTTGCTCACATGGTTGCATTCATGACATTCTCAGCGTCCTTCTGTGGAACTACATCTAAAAAGCCCCATGTCTTCTCCTCATCTGCGAGGAAATAGTCCAGCATTCACTGTCATTCAGTAAAATTGATAATACGCAACATTTTGCCATTATTTTCTTTGTTTTTAACAAAACTTTTCTTTTTCTTAATACTTTGCTTAGCTTTTGGAAGGCATCTTTCACTATTCCAAGACACCTTCGGATTTCGGTGTCAGATTTTCCGCCCTCTCTTAAAATACTTCTTAGGCATTTAAACTTCAAGTCACCTTTTCAACTTTGAGAACATTCTCCAACATTCTCTACCATATACGAGGATTGATATTACATAGCAATTCAACATTTTTTTCTTTGTTTCTAACGAAACTTTCCTGTTTCTTAATACTTTGCTTAGCTTTTGGAAGGCATCTTTCACTATTCCAAGACACCTTCGGATTTCAGTGTCACATTTTCCGTCCTTTCTTAAAATACTTCTTAAGCATTTAAACTTCAAGTCACCTTTTCATCTTTGAGAAAATTCTCTGCCATATAGGAGGATTGATATTACATAGCAATTCAGCATTGTTTTCTTTGTTTCTTTGTTTCTAATGAAACTTTCCTGTTTCAAAATATTTTGCTTAACTTTTGAAAGGCATCTTTTATTGTCCCAATGCGCATTTTTTATTGTCCCAATGCGCCTTCGGATTTCGATATCACATTTTCTGTCGTTTATTAAGAGACTCCCCAGATAGTTAAATGTCTGTATTTGTTTGATTTTGACATCTTTGTAGCTAATATCTTGGGTAGTGTTTCTTGATTACAACCAAACATCTTGTCTTCTTAAGTTAATTCTTAATCTTAAAAGCACGGGAGGTGGGAACAAAGTCTTCTTATTTTCTGCTGGGGTGAGGTGGATACAGTTTATTACCAGCGCCATTGTTCGTGTTTAAGCTCAGGATTTAAAAGGCAAATTTTGTTATCTTTTTGGTTTTATTTTGTGTTTGTTTTTTTTTGCTTTTTTGTTATTTTTCTGGATGTACCTCAGCATGTTAATTTTCACATTTTTGCCAGCACAATCTCCTTTCCTTCATTCAGTGTATCATTTGACTCTTAATATTTATGAAATGCGTACTTACGGATTCTTTTTCTTTTTATGTGCCATGTCCTTTCAGGACGTAGACAATCGTGGGTCTCCACATCCCTCTACCCCTTGCAGCTCTCAGGAAGTTCCTTCCCTCTGCTTCCTTCCCCAGACCACATTCTGTCATCCGCCTGTTTAAACTCGTCAGGTATGTCACGCACCGCTTGTCCCTCTTTCCCTCTATTCGACCCGTGAGTATCAGATTCTCTAGACCCCACTTCCTCATTATGTGTCCCAGAAACTTCAGCTGCCTCTTCCTGATGTTAAGTATAAGCCTCCTCCTTGTTTGCAACGACTCTAAGATCTCATCGTTGCTCACACGCTCGTTCCATGATATCCTTAGCATCCTTCTGTAGAACCACATCTCCGTCGCGTCGAGTCTCTTCTTCATCTTTGAAGAAATCGTTCAAAATTCGCTGCCATAAAGAAGGACAGATGTCACGTAACAGTTCAGTATTCTTTTCTTTGTTACCAAAGAAATCCTCCTGCCTCGCAATACTCTGCCCAGCTTTTGGAATGTGTCCTTGGTCATCCAAATACGCCTACGGATCTCAGTGTCGCACTTACCGTCCTCTGTCAAGACGCTTCCCAGATATTTAAACTTCTGCGTCTGCTTGATAACTGACTATCTGACTATATGCAGTGGGACGCTGAAAAGTTCTCTATTCGACCAAGAAAGTATTTTGAAAATTAATTCTGATGTTTCGTCATTTGTTCAGATATTCGGAAGGGCGTTATGACAATAACTTTTCAGCACCTAATCGTATATTTGCAGTTACAGTTTTAAAAAACAGTCTTGTTTCTTTTTCAGGTTCTTCGGCTCTTATTTATATTCATGGAGGATATTGGCAAGAACTAGGGTACGATGGCTTCTTCATTTTAACAGATAAGGATCCTATTTCCGCTTGTATTACGAAATGGGCCTGTTGCGTGGACAACTATGCTTCGGCACCTCAAACGCTCATGGCCTGAATCTTGTTACCGCACAGCATGGAGCTGTTCAAGAGGTGTTTATAACCAAGCCTCTTCACATTACGCACACTTCCTTCCTATCTCTTCATTTTCTCCGTTATTCGTCCCAATAAAGATATCATTATCTCACGTCTCTTCTCGCTTCTCACGCTTTGGCATTCACTCAGTTATTCCTGACAATGTCTTACGCTTCTTCCATTGCATCAGTCTTCACATTCTCTCCCTTATCACACTACACGTCTCTTCACACAAAATCTTCTTATTTGCACCCTTATGCCTTCTAAAATAAATAACATTACTTCAAGATTCGGCTCTCCTCTCCACACTTCCCACAAATTGCTTCGCTCTTCTCATTCTCAGATTAGTATCTACCAACATAGATAAGATTTTCATTATCTCACGCCTCCCCCCACTCCTCTCTCCCTTTGCCTTTATCTTATTTCCCTCTTGCTCTCTTTTATAAGATAATCATTATTTCACGGCTCCGATGTCTCTTTTTTCTCATTCTATCTCTCTTGTCTTTTTCTCCTTTATTCCTTTTATTATTATCGTTATCTAATCCCTCTCTCTCTACTTCCCAAATTTGCCCCTCTGTCTGTCTCTCTCTCTCTCTTCTTCTTCTTCTTCTTCTTCTTCTTCTACTCTTTTATCCCACTTTGCGTCTGTCTTCTTCTTTCCATTATCCCTCTAGGCTTTCCAAATGCAGATTAATTTCATATGCGAACATAGAGCAAGGGCTGCACAATTATTATCTGTTGTATCCTCTCTTTTATATTTCTTTTGCTCTATCTCACCAGAAAGAATGTTAATGTATTGCATTTTTTATGATTGACAAAAAAGTAATATTCGTTCATATATATATATATAGCTATGGGTAAAATAGCAGGACAGACTGGGTTCTATATTCTTGGATGGCAACTGGTCTAGGAGAAGGACAACTCTGAATTCAAAACCTGCGGAGGGTCGTTTGGGAACCTTGTGGCATTCGGTGCACCAGGTTTCTGTATTCGTCCCTCCAAAAAGTGTGGATGGTCCTGCACGAGGCCTTCACCACTATAATCAAATCTCATGTGCCGATGTCGGGATGTCGGTTTCCTGGAAAATTATCGGCCTGACCCTCATACGTCGAACTCGACGGGAGAGTCGATTATTATATATATATATATATATATATATATATATATATATATATATATATATATATATATATATATAAACACAGTGATATTCGTAATTCATCTTGTGCTCAATTTCGCCATAATGAATTTTTATACACCGAAGTTTTATGTCTTTCGATTCCTACCAAGATTTCCCACCTTTCGTATGTTCTTTTTTGATAACCTAACAACCCCCATCTCTCTCTCTCTCTCTCTCTCTCTCTCTCCTTCTTTTTATATATAACTAGATCACACGTGACCCATTGAGTCAAGCTTTTTGTGCTACTGTTTACATTTAGTTTCATGAAGAATTTGTAAACGTACAGATATTTTAAAAATACATTTAATTGCAGTTATTGAAGTTGATTTCAACATTTAAAAAATTGTTTGAAGAAAATTTAAATAAGAATATTTAAAATATTGTTTGTTTAAAGAAAGTTGAAATATAAATAAGCACACACGCGGTCACGGTAAGGTGTAAAGTGAGAGAGAGAGAGGTGGGTGGAAAGAAAGAACGGTTTTTTACATTTCCTTCTCTCCCCCGTTTCCTACACGATAATAAATTCATATCTTTCTTTCACCCAATCCCTATATATGACTTCTGGCAAACACACAAGCAACGTTCACAGACATTTAGAGTAATAAAGATGAATCAACAAAAGTCGAATTGAGTTATCTGATTGTTGAATATTATAACTCTGTTTATCTACTGGGCTCTTTTTAACAGAGGTTCTGTTAATCTGAAAATGCTTTAAATTTTCTAGTAATTTTCATGCATCATATATATATATATATATATATATATATATATATATATATATATATAAGTGAACATTGAAGTCAACACTCAGAGGCAACAGACTGTTTCAGGCTAAACGCAATCATCAGGCCAGATTTCATCTAGCATGAAACAGTCTGTCACCTTTGGGTATTGACTTCAATGTTCACTTTTATATTTACATACGCTCTATCTCTGATATTGAGCACTTTATCCCATAAATATAGCATACATTAAAACTATATTTCTTCATATATATATATATATATATATATATATATATATATATATATATATATAGATAGATAGATAGATAGATAGATATATAAAGTTTACTACGTTATTTAAAAACCGAAAACTGAAAACGAACAAGAATAAACGAAAATAAATAAAATAATGTAAATAAAAAAAAACAAAAAAAAAATGAATCGAAACAAATAAATAAATTAATAATAAACAAATTAACAAACCTTCGTACGCACAAGAAAACGTAGTAATAACAACCGACAATAACATAAGAATAATTTTTAAAAAGATTAACTAACAACACACTATAAATAACCCCAAAACTTCCTTCGGGTCTACAATTATTCCCACTCAATAACCCTTAGAATAATTCGAAACTGTTACAGCTTACCATGTTAACTGTTAGTTAGAATAATACAATAGACTACCCACAATGCAATAAGTGACCTGTATACGTATGAATAGTCGGGTATAACCACAACGCACATGGTCTTGTCGGAGTTACCTCCTCCTTCAGTTTGTAACCCTTTCACCACAGGTCTCTCTTTCCTGGCTATAAATAGCCAATGACCCTTCGCTTCGATCTCTCTTTTTACTTTTCAGGCTTGTGCACTAACGCACCGAGGTAAATTTCTCTTCTTCCTAGAGGATTTCAACTATCAACCTCAAAATGTAGTCCCTAACAAGAAATAGCGTGAAATCACGCTAAGCACAATACACACACGGAATATTCCCACACTTTGTCCTTTGTACTGTTTTCTTGTATTGTAACTTGTTATGAATATATATTTGTTGTGTATACATATATTATCGGTCTTGTTTTTGTTTGCTTTCTTTTCCTTCTTCTTTGGACTTAACCAAGTCCAACCTTTTTATGTAGTTGGGCCGGCTAGCAGGAGAATCTGAACCTTACAGGCGTTTCGTCCACGTCTGTCTTCTCTCAACAAACCGTAACCGCCAACATAACAGCTACGGCCCTCTACAAATGGTGACCTGGACGTGATTTTTCCACTCCTGCTAAAAAAACACACAAGACGATATATATGTACTCAAACAAACCGAGATTTTGCCAGAACGATACTCTATCGACAATACCAGCAAATTCTCTCAAACATGCATTCGACACTCGGTAGAAATTCAGCTCAACTTCACGAATACGCTGCGTCTATTAACTTTAGTGCGCCGATGAAACCCACACGAACCACCTCGTTTTTCAAACCAACTACAAACAAGCCAGCAGACAGGTGCATAGATCGACACAACCAACTCAACGTGGAGCAAAAAAAGACAAATTTTGATAGCAACGCAGACCACTACCGACGCATTTTACAGGACGTGCCCAATTCTAACTCACTGAAATATAACACTGCACCCTGAGACAACACTACATTTCGTCGAATCACGAATCTAAACCACACTTCTGACACATTTTCTTTTCGCCCCACAAGAACAATATTCAGACTTTAACGAACCTTTTTTCTTTATATATTAAAAGTTTTCATTTCCTTACAACCTTTAATCTGGTGGGGGGTATTGTCGGAGTTACCTCCTCCTTCAGTTTGTAACCCTTTCACCAGAGGTCTCTCTTTCCTGGCTATAAATAGCCAATGACCCTTCGCTTCGATCTCTCTTTTTACTTTTCAGGCTTGTGCACTAACGCACCGAGGTAAATTTCTCTTCTTCCTAGAGGATTTCAACTATCAACCTCAAAATGTAGTCCCTAACAAGAAATAGCGTGAAATCACGCTAAGCACAATACACACACGGAATATTCCCACACACTTTGTCCTTTGTACTGTTTTCTTGTATTGTAACTTGTTATGAATATATATTTGTTGTGTATACATATATTATCGGTCTTGTTTTTGTTTGCTTTCTTTTCCTTCTTCTTTGGGCTTAACCAAGTCCAACCTTTTTATGTAGTTGGGCCGGCTAGCAGGAGAATCTGAACCTTACAGGCGTTTCGTCCACGTCTGTCTTCTCTCAACAAACCGTAACCGCCAACATAACAGCTACGGCCCTCTACAGTCTGACAATGGCAGTTAGCAGGAAACAGACTTGCCTCTGGGTGTAGATTTCAATGTTCACTCTGATATAAATGTAAGCAGCTATACTCATCCGGCAAAACCTTAGGTGTTTTATCTTGTAAATGAACAAACTAATACCCAAGGGGAAAAAAAGGGGAAAAAAGAAAGAACTAAGAACATGAACTTCCGGTTAAAATACTCGTCTGAAATCTAAGTTCAGAGTCCAAAGAAATAAAACCTCTGTAAACGAGTAAAGTAAAAATAACTAAGCAAAGTTCTCAATACGCTAAGTAGAGCAAAATAAGTAAATAAACCTAAAGAGCCAGACTGACCTACCTAGGTTTTTACCTACGCGGATCACCTACGCGGAGCCAGTCCGCCCTGACGATCCGCGTAGGTGAAACATAGGTAGATTACTCTGGCTCTTTAGGGTTATTTACTTATATATATATATAAATAACCAGGGCTGAACAGGATCTTTAGTGTTATAGAACACGACTTGTCTATGAGATAGAAAACTCTTACACGAAAAGCCTGAGGTCTATTGTCTGCTTCGTCTGTGGCATTTATTTGCACTGACTGAGTATCAACAGTTCCAAAAAGTGTGGATGGTTCTGCACAAGCCTTCACCACTTTAATCAAATCACTTTTCTGGCGGTTTACCTTAATTCGTTTATTTTTATCCACACAGTTCATTTGCAAGGTCCACTGGCGAGAGAGTGAAGGCGACTGTGTCAAGTAAAGGATATTACTTGAAGGATCTCGCTGGAGCTCTACACAGTGGCAGACCGAAGGGTGATGGCCGTTCTTTCACAAACCCATGAGCAATTGTGATGTCCGTGTCCTCCATCGGTGACAAAGCAGCCCTATTTAGGGTTCGCACTGCTTTCCCTATTATGGAGAGAGGGCGATAAAAGGAGCCCTAAACATTGCTTTGCTCACACAGAGACTTGGCAGTCCGCTGCAGCTGTCTGGTTATCCAATAACGCAGTCGAAACAGCAAGAAAGATCAAAATAAATATAAAAAGAATTTCTATTTTGGATCCTGGAATGTTCGCACTCTCCAGGACAATGATTCTGCACCAGAGCGTAAAACAGCTCTTGTGTCTCTCGAGTTGTAGAAGTATAACATCGACATTGAGGCCATTAGTGAAACACGTCTGGCTGGCAATTCTCAGCTTAGGGAAGAAAAAGGAGGATACGTGTTTTTATGAGCTGGCAAGACTAGGAAAGAGCCACGCCAATCTGGTGTTGGCTTTGCCATCAAGTCAGACCTTGCTAGCTCACTGCTTTCCTTACCTAAAGGTTGTATCAGATCGTATAAAGACATTAACCCTCTATCTGAAGTGCAACACCCGTGTGACGATGGTTAGCTGCTACGCTCCAACCTTAGGTTGTTCAGAGCAAGAAAAACATGATTTTTACGATCTCCTATGGGATGCCATCTCCAAAGTCCAACATAAGGACAAATTAATCCTTACAGGTGACTTCAATGCTCGTGTTGGCAATGATTATCATTCTTGGAAGGGCGTTTTAGGTCACCATGATATTGGTCGTGTGAATTCGAATGGATTACGCCTTCTCACTATCTGCAAGAAATTTGACCATAGTATTACTAATACCTTCTACCAGCAACCCAGCTGTTGTAAGACCATGTGGATGCATCCTCGTTCGAAAGACTGGCATCTGATCGACTACGTCATCACCAAAAGACGGGACATGAAAGATTTTAAGATAACGCGTTAATTCCACACAACATACTATCTGTCAGATCACACCCCACTACGGAGTAAGGTTACATTGCATCTGCAAAAGCAAAGGATTATAAAATCTACAGTGCCCAAGTGCATTGACGTACTGCCTCTTAAATCGACTGAAACGAAAATTGAGCTCTCTGACAAACTTGATGCTGCACTTGATTCTGTAAACATTACCAATGATATGGAATCATCTTGGAAAGCTCTACGGGATGCAACACATTCTGCATCCTTGGAGGTTCTCGGCCTGCCACATCGTAAACATCAAAACTGGTTTGATGACAATAATACAGAGGTTCTGTAGCTTATAGTTCAAATGCATTCTTCTCATAAAGCATGGATTGAGGACAAGAACTCGTCCGATAAGTAGATCGCTTACAAGAAGTGCAAAAGTCAGAGCCTTTTCGGCCCTCAGAAAAGTGATGTTGCTCCAATCTCCACAGCAGATGGTGAAACTCTCTTGACGAATAAGTCGGACATTTTAGATCGCTGTAAAGAGCATTTCGAAACTGTTAAACACCACTTCAGTTACTAATGAGGAAGCCATCACATCAATTGAGCAAGATCCAGAAATTCCGGAGTTGTCTTTTCAACTTACTTATCAAGAGGTAAGTGACTCCATCAAGCAAATCTTATCCAGAAAATTACCTACTCCTGAGGATCCTATTCCACTCGAATTGTATAAGCATGGTAGCCAAAAGTTGGTAGAAAAGTTGCATCTCCTTTTCGTGGAGATATGGAAGGCGAGCTGTGTCCCACAGGATTATAAAAACGCCTCTATCAAACACCTCTACAAAAACAAGAGTTCCAGGTGTGTCTGATAATCATCGGGGGATATCACTCCTTTAAATTGCAGGCAAAATCTGATTCTAAACAGAATCATTATACACATTGTTGACGACATCTATCCTGAATCGCAGTGTGGTTTTCGGTCAGGTCGTGGCACCATTAATATGATATTTTCTCTTCTTCAAGTTGCAGAGAAGATTCGAGAGAAAAACCAGTTGTACATGGTGTTTGTGGACTGGACGAGGGCTTTTGACACTGTGAATCGAGAGGCTCTTTGGCAAGTCTTGAGGAAACTCGGCATCCCAGAAAACATGCTCTCTCTCTCTTTTATGAAGGAATGAAAGCTAATATCGTGCCTGATGGTATGATGTCAGAATTCTTTGATGTTACAAACGGCACCAAGCAAGGTTGTGTCATGGCCCCTGTCCTTTTTGCCCTTTTCTTCTCGGTGATGCTGAAATATGCATTTGCAGACACAGAGAGTGACGTCAAGTTTCAGTTACGAACAACTGGTGGTCTCTTCCATCATCAGTGCTTCTAAGCCAAGACCCACCTTCGTACACAAATCATTCGTGATTTGTTGTTCGCTGATGATGCTGCTCTTGTAGCGACATCCTTTGAGGAGGCCCAACATCTATTGCTCTGCTGCATGTCTTACACTTAGCATAAAGAAGACTGAAGTAGTGCATCAACCTTGTCCTACTCCGAAGCAATTCTGTGGTGAGAAACAAAAACCACTCTCTACAAATTTCCAGAGAGACCATTGAAAGTAGAAAAGCCTATCTTGGTAGCAAAGTCAACTACAGTGGATCTTTAGATGATGAAATCATGCATCAGATTGCTAAGGCTACCAGTGCTTTCGGCAAACTTCGCCATCGTTTGTGGCCTTGTACTAAATCTAAACTGTACTCAACAATAAATAAAAGCCAGGAGTGTTGGCAGGACGCATCATCATGGCGTAAGGGTTAACACATTCGTCTCTTAGATCATCATTAATGGATTCATTCCTCACAGGGTGCCCCAAAAATGTGACCTTATGTCCTTTTAAGCTTGATTTAGATCATTTGTTAGTGTGGCATACGATTTTTAAGTATAATACAAATTCTCTAACCGAAATTTATTGGGATTTATCAGTTTTTTGTAAAATTTCCGGATTAATGAACCGAACTTTTTTCTGCAAGAGAAAAAATACGATAATAAATATCATTTTTATATCTATCTATCTATCTATCTATCTATCTATCTATCTATCTATCTATCTATCCTATCCTATCCTATGTTTAAATCTATCTATTTATCTACCCAATGTTTAAATCTATCTATCCTATGTTTAAATCTATCTATGTTTAAATCAATCAATCAACCAATCTATCTATTTATCCTATGATTAAATCTATCTATCTGTTATATACCGTACCTATGTACACTAAAAGGTATGTCCCAATCCTCATAAATACGTTAGAGACTATTGTAAGTGTGTTAGTGTGTGGGGGGGGGGGTAATATGCTAACTATGTGTAACTGGCTGTGGTTTACCTACTTCACGCCGCTGGCGAGTATTGTATTTTGTTGATGTTATAAAGATTGCCATTTCATTTTCCGTTTTGGTTATTCCTCAATCAGTAACACTTCCTCGGTTACAACAATATGTATCTATCCCATGTTTAAATCTTATCTATCTATCTATCTATATATATATATATATATATATATATATATATATATATATATATATACTGTGTTTAAAACTATCTACCCTATGTTTAACTCTATCTATGTTTAAATCTATCTATCAACCCTATGTTTAAATCTATCTATCTATCGTATATTTAAATCTATCTATCTTAGTCTGTTTCTATCTATCTATCTATCTACCTACCCTACTTTGTTTATATCTATCTATCTATCTATCTATCTTATTTTATTTCTATCTATCTGTTTATTTTAACAGTTTAGAGTATTCCAGCTTCCCTGCAATCAACATCACAAAATCAGGAGGGGTTCTTTATTCTATCGGCTACAGCCTTGCGCCAAAAGGTGAGTACATTTGGACAGAACCGTCAATCAACTCTTCCGCTGAAGCTGTTTATGCTTCATAACAAAATCGTGGCACAAGATTAAAGGAGGCAATAGCAGTGGAGACAAGTCTGTGTATTAATATGCAGCATTTAATAATTAAAATAATTAGCAGAAGAATTTAAAAAAGACGATCAACACAAACGTATATATATATATATATATATATATATATATATATATATATATATATGAAAAATTTCTCAGAGTTAACCCGTAGAAAAAGACAATATTTATAAATGTAAAAGACAATAGGAAAACTGTAATATTAGCCGACGCGTTTCGTCCAATGTGGATTTTTTCAAGGCAAAAACGAAATGAATTTATTAAAAACAAACTAATTATTAACAACAAAACAAAATGTCCTTAGCAACTGGGAGAATTTAGAAAACACTACTGTATTCATATTGTCAGCTGAAAATTACATCAAGTACCGTCACGTGTGGAAATATTGTTTTTATTGTTGTGTTGACTGATTCAACCATTTTCTTTTGATTTCCTGATACAGTTGTGTACGTTTTCTTGGGAGAGTGGTAATTCTGTTAATTCGAGAGTGCCGTCATTTTGAATATTAGTGAAATATTAATCTACAGTCTGGGTCAACCTTTGATTTTCCTCTTTCCATTATTTTTACCCTTCCCATTCCATTAGTGAGTGTGCTTCTTGATTTTGTCTATCGACAGAATACAGAAGCCACTCTTATTATTTTGAGGGATGGACAGGTCCTACTAACATTGTTTTGTTTTAGTTTTAGTTTTGTGTTTCATTTTTAGTTTATTTTCTGGTTTCATCCTCCCACCCCCATCATTTAATAAATCATGAATTTTCATATGAACGGACTTTATGGACAGTGAAATGAAATTTGCGATGTTTTCTAGGTCCCCTGTGAATATGCGGTATTATGGTATAGGCAGGATTGATTGGTGATGGATGAGTCCTTGTGGTGAATGGGAAAATTGTAATAAATGAATGAGTCGTGATTCTGATTAACTAGAACTAGGATAGATAATGAAGACCAGCCTCTCTCCATCTCCCCCTCGACCTTGTGCCGGAATTTTGTATTTTTTACGAAATAAATAATCTTACCGAAAACAACTATTATAATTACAAACTTACTTAAATATGGCTGCCATTTTTTACAATACAAATAAACTTACTTAAATATGGCTGCCATATTTTACAATACAAATAAACTTACTTAAATATGGCTGCCATTTTTTACAATACAAATAAACTTACTTTAATATGGCTGCCATATTTTACAATACAAATAAACTTACTTAAATATGGCTGCTATATTTTACAATACAAATAAACTTACTTAAATATGGCTGCCATTTTTTACAATACAAATAAACTCGTGCTTCACAACAAAAACTAAATCTATTACCATCTTACGAAAACGATGAATATATTTTTCCTTGAAATAATGTTGAGTATTGTTGTAAAATATAATTAGTTCAAAGCATTCACTATTTCTCTATTAGTTTCGTCTTTCAAGGTTAGGATTAGCGGTATCCATCGGGAGTGGTGGGGACGTCGCAACCGGGTGTAACACAAGGTCAAGGTTTAAAGAGGGTCTAACGGTCATACCAAAATTCCCAAGTCCCCTTGGCACTTCCTCTTTTGGGGACGCCTCAGACACCGGGCAATAAACCCAACCCCCTCCCGAGGAACAGGTAATACCTGGAGAGAAATCCCCAGGCTAATATTCAATGAATACTAAGCACAAACCCCTGCTTCTACACTGAGTGCAATGTTGATGTTCTACAAAAAATGAAAAACCAAATTGCCCTAATTTATATAGAAAGAAAATCACATTGTGTACATATTTGCAGAAATCCATTCAATTTGTAGCATTAATTATGATGACAAAGTAAGAAACAATAACAATAAACTCCCAAATAGTTTATTTAATCAGCAACACATTGGCAGACATGGAATAGAGAAGTGAATTAAGGTCTTACTTGACAATCGACTTGGCTGTGGATTGCGTCTATGTTGTTTCTGCGTTCGAGAAGAATGAGGTCTAGAATAAATGTACAGACGTTTCGGCAAATTGGCACCTACCGGTGAGGCAATTAGCCAGACGCATTTATATATAATTTATGCACATTTATATATAATGAATATTATTATGTATTTATATATAATTTATGCTCATATCAAAAGGTAAGAACCGTCCTGGGTATGACGATAAACTACATCCGACAGCAAGGCCTTTGATTAGGAGGTGCATGGAACTACCTCTTAATTGTTGGTGTTCCCAAGTCCACCCTGACCCGAGGTGGTAGCAATTGACAGGTTCCCAGCTATGGGAAAATAATTAATCCCCTAAAAGTGATCAAAACTTTATGAAAGTATAAAACAGGTTTTAATACCAGCAATACTTTTTTGAAAAAAAATATTACCAGCAATAAAAATCTTGTCGGCATTAAATAACCCATTGAAGTTGATATGCCGTAAACCAAACCAAACCAAACCAAACCAAACCAAACCAAACCAAACATTTGACATGTGCATAAATTATAATTGAGTCAAATACAGATAAGGAACATCGAAAGACAAGTACAAAGAAAGAAATTAAACGGATTTTTCAAAACGGACACTTAATTTCAGTATTTGGCTCGAGATATTTATGCAAGAAGATATTTTCAAAGATGAACCATGCAAAATCTGCATATGGGTCAGTTTTTACGGATCAACATCATTTCGAAGCAGACATTTTGAACCAGAGTTCGACAGTTTTATAGTTTCAGAACGGAAAATATGATTCAAAATAAATGATTAAAATATATCACTTCATATATATATATATATATATATATATATATATATATATATATATATATATATATATATATATGAAATAAAAGACGTGTCTTAGCCGAAATATTTCATCCTCTTATAGACTTTAAGTCAAATGTAAGGATTTTATTTCTCAACAAGTATTTATAAAGAGTATTTATAATCAATTATTTAAATTCAGATTCCAGCCGAGAACGCTGCGTTTGCTTGCTCATAAATAACTTTAGAAAGGTATGAAGCTATCACTTTTCTCCTCCAGCTATGAGTTAAATATGCAGGGCAGACTTGACTCTCTAGATTTGGTTATGGCAATCAGTCTCGTAGAAGGTCAACTCCAGTTACAAAGCGCGGGCCAAGCAACTCCATGTGATAAAACGAATATACCACGAAAACCATAACGAAAACACTTTGCGAAGAAGAAGCTGTAGCCTTATATTATATAGAGACGTCTGAAGAGTTTATATATATATATATATATATATATATTGGGAACATTGTAATAAGGAAAATGTGATAGGGGATAATCGTAGTTTTAAGTTTTCGCATTTTTGTGACTTCGAGTTGATAAGACTTGCCCACAGGATTCCAATTGTTCTCACAAAGAATTTCAAAAACTGCTCTCTTCTTTTGCTTCTTCTTCTTGTACTTCTTCTGTTTCTTCTTCTTCTTCTTCTTCTTCTTCTTATTATTATTATTATTATTATTATTATTATTAAGAAGAAGAAGAAGAAGAAGAAGAAGAAGAAGAAGAAGTGCTTAATTTTAAAATGGTCGCATGTACTTGTACTAAAATTCTAATGTGTTTGCCGTTCCGGGCTTTGAAATTTAAACGTGTTCTCAATCTAACAAGCCAACTTCAGATGAAACACTGATTCGTGTACGATCAGGGAAGTTAAGCAACGTCGAGCTTGGTCAGTATCTAAATAGGTGACAACTTGCGAATATCAGGTTCTGTAAGCTAGGTTGTGCGGATGCTCGAATTGAAAATGGCTCGAAATTGAAAATCGGAGGTCAGAATTCCAATTCCAGTCTTGTTTGTTATTTTCTTCTCCTTCCAGCTATGGGTTAATTAGTAGGACTTGTATCAGTAAATCAATATTATCACCAAAATATTCTTACAATCTAAAAATATTTCCTGGATTTAAATAACCTGCGAAGTGTTGATAAGCCGTAAAAAATCAATTAATCCAGGTTTTCAGATCTGCTTTCTTCTCTTTTGGAATATGTTTTAAGGAAAGTTAATATTTCCTTTTATATTGATATCGTAAAGTCTAAACTCTATTTTGCAAATCGTTTATAATTTTAAAAATTAAATTTCTCTATTATTTTTTAAAACTTCTGTGGGTGGGGGTATTAAGATCAAAGTTCAAATCCCTTCACATAATGTTAATTCAGAATCCGTTAGAAGTTGAACATTTTAATATAACTAAATGAATCGACTTTTAGGGTGAGCACTAATAATAAAATTGTAATTTTGTCTTTCCGACGAATTTCCAAAAATCAGCTGATAAATTATTTTTAAAGCGATCTAAGTTCGATCTATTTTTAGACGTTTAGTCCGATTGTGTTGTCGGAAATGAAAATCACGAGTCTGGATTATGTAATAACAACTCAATACCTCAGACCCATTTATTATACACTTACCATGTTTCTTAAGTTGCTGCTATGAACTGATAGGAACGTAAATCAATAGTAATAGTATTACTAGCCATTTCCCTATAAGGAAACATTTGGCATTCATTGACCGAGCAGCCAGTATCGTTTTCGGTTGAAATTTATAAATTCTTTCTCTGAAAACAATTTTTCAGGAAAATAGGTTTATCAAATCCAGTAGCTGTTATCGCTCTTTCCAGTATTGATGGGCCGTTTCCTTCTTAAGTTTTTGTTTGAAGCAGTGTGGAATATCAGCCTCTGAATTATGTTATTATTTTCTCTTCGAGTTACATGTGTAATCCGTTTTAGTTGTTACTGCTGTCGCTTAAGTGATGCTGTTTTCTGTTACTTGCTACCGTTCTTATATTAAATCTAATTAAATAGTTTTTATCAAATTATTTTTCTCTTCTTCCAGGGACAATGGAACAAATGATTGACGAGGTTAAGGCAGGTGTCCTTTACGTGCTCAAAGACGCTGAATCCAGAAACTTCTCAGGTGTGCATATGTGTGGCCATTCTGCAGGGGCTCACCTGAGTTCTATGATGCTTTCTATAGACTGGGAAGCTGAAGGGGCAAACCCTACCCTACTGAAAGGTAAGGCCCAAAATAGATACCGTAATTATTCATATATAATACGCACTTTCTCCCAGATTTCGAAGCCTAATCATAGCTTACAGTTATATCACGTTGAAATACCAGTTCCCGTACGATATCCGAATCTTCAATATCGGTCTATATCTCTGAGATGAGGTATTATGATTACTTGCATTATTTACATTATTCGGACTGTTATCCTCATCTTCATTGCCATATTCACAACTTTTCGGACTCTATATCTCTGAGATGAGGTATTATAATTACTTGTATTATTTAGATTGTTCGGACTGTTATCCACATCTTCATTCACAACGTTTCGGCCGTTGTACGCTCGGGCCTTCTTCAGGTGATTGGAATTTCTAACCGAACTCTTTATTTCGTCCACCAGGATAGATTGTTCTAGTTCCACGTGTCATGCCTCTTCCGGATCACCTGAAGAAGGCCGGGGCTCACAACAGCAAAAACGTTGTGAATATGGCAATGAAGATGAAGATATCAGTCCGAATAATGTAAATAATACATGTAACGATATCAGATGTTAAGCAACGTCGAGTCTGCTCAGTACCTAAATGGGTGCAAGCCTAATATTGCTGACCTCTCTGAAGGATATTTCTAATTCTGGTTGTCGTAGCAAAGCTAAAAAACATAATGAAAGACAGCACGCACCCTGGGTAACACTTGTTCAATTACCCTCAAGGCAACATTTTACATTTAGGTCTTATTAGTTTGATGAAGGATTTTGATGAGATGGAGTAATGGATAGGGGCTTGAATTGAGGAATCGGAGAGCCGAGTTCGAATTCCAGTCGAATCCAATTACATTTACTTACGTGCTAATACCCTTGAGAAAGGTATGAATCCTCTTCTCCTCCCCTCCAGCTATGGGTAAATAGCAGGACAGACCGGGTTCTATAGCCTTGGATGGCAACTGGTCTACCGCAGAAAGAAATGGCAACCTACTGTGGGAAAAAATCTGATCGTCTAAGAGTGTATCACGCATGGCACATGACTGACTGAATTTATTTTCTCTTATATTATTATTTTTAAATGTTTTATACTTTTTAATATAATTTTTTTAATATAATTTATCTAAATATGACTTATTTTTAATCTTTTTAATATATCTTATTTCTAAGTATAAATTATTATTTTTAAGTAGGAAACTTTTTTTTATAATTTTTTTTTGTTATAAAACTCCCTTTTCGTCCCTCTTTTATTTTCAAATCCACACTTCATTCTTCATATAACCCCAATTTAATGCCTATAATTTAATGTTTATAAGGTTTAATCCGGGTTTAATTTTATAAACATCTTCCCTTCCACGTTCCCCTTCTTTATAACATCAACAAAATGCAATACACCTCAGCGACGTGAAGTAGTTAAGGCCTTGTTGCGTGTTTACACTTAAGGGTGTTAGCGTTAAGTAAACATCAACCACTTTAGTCGGAATTATCAATTTAAATAATTTTAAATTTCAGTTTTATTATTTTAAAATAATGAAAAACCAAGTGAAATTTTTATTTTTCTTAATAACATTCTTTATAAAAAAAAAACAACAAATAATTACGAATATTTAATTGATCCTTGGGGGATATGATGAGGGAAGTTCTCTCAATACAAACTGTTTCAGGTGAATCAATAAAATCTGTCGCATCTTTTACATACTTAGGAAGCGAGATAAATTCTACTGAAAAGGATGAGAAATTTTGCATAGCTAAAGCCTAGACTATTTTGAATAAAATGCATGTAATCTGGAAATCTGATCTACCAGACAACCTCAAACGGAGATCCTTTCGAGCCACTGTAGAGGCGGTGTTAATGTATGGTGCCACTTCCAGGACATTAACTAACAACCCTACAGTTTAAGACTGATAGAAACCACACTCCGATGATGAGAGTTATATATAAAATCCCTTGGAGACAACATCCAATTAAATCATAGCTCGATTAACCCATCCCTGATATTTCTGTGATCTTACGCGAACGCAAAGTGCGCTTTGCAGGGAAATGCTGATGAGCAAAACAAGAACCCTCGAGTGATCTACTGCTCTGGACACCTAGCCATCGAGCAAGACAGTCTGGTTGCCCTACATTGACCAGCTATATTATGACACAGAATGCATCCCTAATGACCTACTGACCTCCAACCTTGATGCAGGACCGTGTTGGTCGGCGTGATAGATTCATGAATGTCCGAGCTAGATCGACCGAATAGATAATTGATCCTTGTTGCTTGTAATTTTAATTGCACACTCTCTTCGTTGGCGATTGTGACATACCAGTATTGAGTACTTTTTCAGTACTAATTCATGCCTTTACCAAGTTCATTAGTGTTAATTAATTATGAACAACTCGAATCGGAAATCGAACTCAGTTTTCAGACTAATGAATTCATATTAAAACAATTACTAAAATTCACAACGATACAAATCTCGTGCGCCACTCAAGGTAGAGAATTAAAATGAAAATGGTAATAATGAATGGTGTGTGTGTGATATGGATGAAAGAGATGGCAATAAAAAGTGAAGATTATACGGATAAGGAGAAAAGATAACCATTGACCTTTGATTTGAAGAGGTCAAGAAGGAAGGGTTCAAGGAAACAACCATGCAGCAATCTATTCTACAAAGTGGCATTTCTTGGGGAAAAAAATCTCTCCGGATGGAACTTTCTTCTTACAGAACACATAGGAAATGTAGGTGATTCGATTCCGTGGAAATTACATGGTGTCTCCTAACTGTAAAGGTCTGAACTGGTGGAATGAAAGAATGGAGCGCTCATCTGAACATTTGCCTGGAAATAGCAATAGGGTAGCGACAGGTTTACAACGTTGCGTCTGTGGAGAAAAAGGCTAGAGGGGGTAAAATAAGTTGCCCCTCCCCACAAGACGGCGTAAACGATTGCGCAGCTACAGTCCAAATATGGTAGCCATACCCGATTTGGGTTTCGAAAGTGGCAAATATAAATGTATATATAAACAAAAGTATTGTAATGAATGAAATAATAATATTGAAGGAATAATAATAATAATAACAGTGCACAAATATTACCCTCTTATCAAGAAAATGCTTAGCTATTGTGTATCCTATTCTTTTATCATTTCGCCACAAGCAAGGCGATAAAGCCCCTAAGACGCAAAGAGATACTGAGAGGGAAAGAAACAGAGAAGTCAATAAAAGAACAGGATTCAAGGAGACAGAAACTGACTATTGGTGTTGTATTTAACTTCTTGAAGATCGGAGACAGGAAAGCAAGAAACCAGAAGAGAATTCCACAAGCAAGAAGTGTGAAAGAGAAAACCAATAGAATAGAACTTACGGTTATATCTAGAAATTTCAACGATAAAATGATGGGACCGAACTGCCAATCTAGTACTACATGTAAATTCATGAAGTCGTGGTATCAAAGAGGAAAGCTCGTCAGAACAATTGCCATGAAAATATTTATGCAAAAGGCACAGGGAAGCGAAGTTACGGCGGTGGAAAAGTGACTGGAAAGCGAGATGCTGAATACAAAATCGGCAATTTCATATTGAAAAATTATTGTATGTCTTAAGAATGTCATGGAAGGTTTTAAAATATGCGAGAAAATGTAAAACTTTAACTAGCGAAAACAGCAAAAGAAGTTATATAATGTGTCGTAACCTAGAAAAGGTTTCTGAATGAGGAATAACCAAAACGGAGGTTGGAAATGAAATGGTAATCTTTACAACATCAACAAAATACAATACTCACCAGCGGCGTGAAGTAGGTAAATCACTACTAGTGGTGGACTACTTAGACACCATATTACGCCCATTTACAATAGTGTACAACGTATTTATGAGAATTGGGACACACCCATTAGTGTTCATAGGTACAGTATATAAAATAATTCTTGTTTGCTTTTATCGAGTCATGATTGTTAAATGTATTTTCTTTTATGTTTGAAAGGTTTCATTTTGGTGAGTGGAATCTATGACCTTCGACCTCTGGTCAATACCTACGTGAATGATCCTTTAAAGATGACAGAGTAAGTACCTACTTTGCGATCCTTGATTTAATCCTTATTTTGATAAAATAAGATCCCAGTAGGTCACTACTTAAAGTGACTTTTGGATCTAAGTTGGTAATTAAAATAAAGGACTGATATGATTGAAGATTTTTTTCCCGCGGTTTCAATTTATCATAAATAGTAGCTCATGTGACTGTAGACAGTTGATTAGTAAGAAAGAGAATTGACTTTCTCCAAGATGACAGGGTTGAACATTCTAAAGAATTGGAAAAAAAATCTTGCTTTGGATTTGGTGCCTTTAAAGGAAACATCGGTGTTGCAAAAACAAAAGTGAATTTTGCACACGGAAATTTTCAAACCCAATGTCTGTGAATAATTTCTATTTTTCTTTTCTTTTTTTTCTTCTTTTTTAAAGCTTTTTTCTTGTTTTGCTTTTTTCGTTTTTGCTTTCCTTTTCTCTCTTTTAGAACTTATTTCTTGCTTTAATTTTGCTTTCATTTTATCATCATCATCATCAGCAGCAGCAGCAGCATCATCAAAACTTTTTCAATTTGAGATGATGAATTAACAGGTTCTCTCATCTTTAGTGACATTGTACAATGATTCGACAATATTTTGCCAGCCTTCTCTGTCCTCTGCAAGTTTTTAGATTCATTGCAGATCTTCCTTGATTGTAAACTTCTCCAAAGGAAAAGTGGAATCTTTCTGCCTCGTTCTTTGAATATCTCGGTTCAGCGTTGTGACTATGGTGGTTCTTGAATGACCTCTGAACTTTTTGAAGTCAGTCTTTTCAAAGTAAAACTCCATGGATTTATTAGCGGGGCATTCTGGATCCATTCTGTTGATATTCGTATGTTTTTCCTTGAACAGAGAGCTGTATTACAGACACACGGTCTGATACTTTCCAACATCAATGTACATTATCTGTCTATATTTCTGAGATGAGGTATTATGTACATTATTTACATTATTCGGACTATTGTCCTCATCTTTGTCGCCATATTTATTACAACGTTTCGGCCGTTGTACGCCCCCGCCTTCTTCAGGTGGTTGGAATGTCGAACTGAACCCTTTATTTCACTCACTGGGGTAGACTGTTCTAGTTCCACGTGCCATGTTTAATGGATGTCAGTTATCAGTTATCTCCCGTTAATTCACCTCTCCAAGTTCTCCACTGCCTTAACCGGGTATTGAACTCGCACTCTTTGGGTCCTGTCACTGGATCTAGCTAATGCCTTTATCCACTGTGCCATGTGTCCTTGAAATAAAGGGTTCAGTTCGACATTCCAACCATCTGAAGGCCGGAGCGTACAACGGCCGAAACGTTGTAATAAATATGGCGACAAAGATGAGGACAATAGCCCGAATAATGTCAAAAATGTAAAAAATACTTCGATGTGTATTATTCTTTCATTTACTCTTGACAACAAATCCGTTTCCATAATGTTTGCATTTTGTCTCTAAACATATCAGCTGGTGTTTCTTTATGCTGATGTTACTGTTTAGACCAGGTCCAATTTTTCATTTTCCGAATATTGTCTTTCTCAGTATACAACGTCTTCAATAAGTAGTTGCAGTAACTGGAATAGCCATTACCTACATCGCCTTTATTAAATTTATTTCGTTTTTTTTCTGTTTTTTTTTTTGTTTTGTTTTGTTTTTTTTCTTTTGCTCTTTTTCTTTGAAATTTTCTTTATTTTGTGTGAAGATTCTCGCTTTTTATTTTATTTATTTATTTATTTATTTTTTGTTGTTACTTATGATTATTTCCCTTTTTCTTGTTATTTTCTATTTGGGGGGGTCCTTCTTTTTTTTTCCTCTATTCTCTTTTTTGTTTTCTCACTCAGTTTTCACAGGGAACGATGCAGTAGTACACTTACTGCATTCATAACTACACACAATCATTGAAAGAAAATTCTAGAAAATTCAAAGTGTAGTTATGCACAAGTGATCCTGGCCAAGATCGAAAGGAAACAATTTGGATCTCGGGAGTTCTGGAACATCAACCAAATTATGAATAGAGGCAAGATGTCTGTGCCTACTATTATAAATGGCCCTGAGGTCATCTCATTCTCGTCAGATATCTCCTTTCCGACTTCCCCCGTCTCACTGAACACAATCCCAGTAACATTTTCATTAAAGCACGGGATGTCTTAAGACGTATCAAAATATTTTAACACTAAGAAGGCCACCGATCCAAACAAAATCCCAGTGGCTGTCCTGAAGTATATTAACCCTGAGTTATCCCTGATCTTAGTTAAATTATTTAATCGCTGCTTGGAAGAGAAATACTTCGAAGGTCTGTGGAAGGTGCAAGTGTATGTCCTCTTTTCACCAATGCGAGTAAGTGCTCATCCACGACTCAGTATACACGACCAGCCTCCTCAGTGTCATTAGCACACTTTTTGACGCTATAATCAACAAGAATGTTAGTGATCACCTCAATAGGGACAACATCTTGAGCGACAAGCAGTACGGATTTCGATCGAGTTGGTCCACTGCTGATTACCTGAGAGTCATTACTCACAGAATCAGTGAGGCACTAGACAAGAAATACATGTCAAGGACGATCGCATTAGATATTTCAAAAGCCTTTGACAAGGTGTGGCATAGACGTTTATTGCATAAGCTCTCGAGCTATGGAATCACTGGGAAAGTTTTCTCAATTATCAAGTCCTTCTTAACGGGTATGTCCCTGAAGGTAGTTGTTAACGGCCAGTACTCCGAGGCCCGAGTGATCAAAGAAGCTTCCCCTAGGACTCGTTTTCTACTTTATTGAATCAAACCGAATTATTGAAACCGAAACATTTTAGCATAAGCAATCGGTCTTTTTGTCATTACTAATAAAAAAAATAAAAATTGACTTTGGCAATGTTTATTACATTTGAACGAATATTTTCGTCTCCAAAAATATTTTTTTCCCTAACAATGCCATATATCGTTTTTCTTTCTTTCATTTTTATTTTAGAGAATCGGCAGCCAAAATCAGTCCTCTTCTATTTTGCGATCAGATTGTCAAATATTCCAAGGACCGCACTGTGCTCATTGCTTTCGCAAAATATGACTCTGAAGAATTTATCCGACAGGGACAACAATTTTATGATGTAAGTTAAGAAAAAAAAGTCTTTAACCAGCCTCCCACCACTCCTGATAAATCTGGTTATCTAACCGTAAACCCGCCAACATTAATTAGAAAAATTATTATGAATTTGTCTCAAAAAAGTAAAATGTGAGAAGTCATATACTTTTCGCGGATTTGAATCAACCCACAAGAAAGAAAAAAGCGAGAAAAATTTTTAAATACAAAAATATTTTTATTTTTGTGTTTTTACAACTCAGCATGTATGAGTGTTAAAGTTTCTTGTTTACAGTTATTCGTTAATATGAAAAGAAATATTATTTCTTCGCGTGTATACCTGAAAAAAAGAAGCAAGGGAGAAAGTGAGGAAGAAAGTTTACATGTCACGTAGCTTAGTAACGAAGAGTGTAAGTGTTACGTAGCTTGGTGTGGGAGGACGGATGAATGAGTAAAGGAATCTCTTTGAAGTCGCCGTCGTGAACAGATGTCGCATGTATCCGTCTCTTTCTCCTTGCTGGTTTTGTCAGTTTGGAGACTTTACTTAAATACTCTTCAAAGGGATCACGAAGTAAGTTTTATTTTTATTGCCGACGGGAACGCGAACCGTTGGTTGGAAAATGTTAAATATTTATTTTCAAATGATTAATTTCTTAAACGAGAGGATGCCCGGTTTCTCCGACTCGGATTCGATTTTTGTCATTTGATGTGTGACTGTCTTGGCGTTTATGGACGTCTTCGCTCCATATATTATCGTGATGGAATGGGGGAAATAGTTTCCACGGCCCGAGGGTTTCCACGGTGTCCCTCCATCAACGCTTTCTGCGCCCACGTTGTGTTGAAAAATCCGCGGGAAGGGATTTCGACAGAGTTATCACTAACACAAATGTAATGAGGGTCTGACGAAAGAATGTAGAAGTTTTTAGTCGAAACCTCACCTAATTGGTCCGATCTGGTGCTGTTGGTGACTTTTGTAATAAGTGGACAGAAGAGACACTTGGTAACACTATTTTGTCAACTATACTTACTTTATCTCTCTATATCTTTGAGATGAAGTATGATTACTTGTACTATTTACATTATTCGGACTGTTATCCTCATCTTCACTGCCATATTCAAAACTTTTCGGCCTCTATATCTCTGAGATGAGGTATTGTGATTACTTGTATTAATTACATTATTCGGGCTGTTAACCTCATCTTCATTGCCATATTCACATCGTTTCAGCTGTTGTACGCTCCGGACTTCTTCAGGTGATTGGAATATCGAACCGAACCCTTTATTTCGTCCACGGGTGTGGATTGTTCTAGTTCCACCTGCAATGCCTCTTCCAGGTCTTAGTCACTGGATCTAACCAACGTCTTTATCCACTCGGCCATGCGTCCTTCAGGATATTCACTTTAATTGCGGATATTTCATTTTCATCTCTAAGGCATTTCAATAGTAAAATCACTCGCAATGTATCTACATTTTGCATATAATCTTTTTGAACCTGTAGACTCCATGTTGCGTATAGGGCTACAATAAAACGACGCTAGGCGGAGCTGTTGTGCTTTCACTTACAATTAGATTTTATAGAGAGGGGTAACTCGCCCAAACGCTGTTGAATTAACAGTAGTCTTAGGTTGGCTGCTAATCAAGGCTAAATAGCCCAGTCTACATTGTTATTTCATCCGTAGCTGATGAGAGAAGAGATGGGATCCTATTTTTTCCAAAGGTATTTGTGCATAAGTGAATACAACAACATCCGTTAGAATTTGAACCCGGCAAGCAGATCCTACCTTTTATGTCGATAACTACTACACTACGAGCACATTCATAAATATATCTCACCAAAACACTGCACCAGAGAATGGCACCAAGTCATAAGTGGACCACAACGGGAAAGGCATGAATCCACCTTTCCCTGCACCCTATACTTTAAGCATTTAGAGATGCAAAATAGTGTAACAGTCATCAGCATAGAAAAAGGAATTGGCAAAGACAATTCAAATTTCAGTTGAAGCTTCTTATGTTCACTTTGCCTTAATGTCATTGGAAAAGGCATGAATCCACCTTTCCCTACACTCTATACTCTATATCTAACCATTTAGATATGCAAAGTAATGTAACAGTCATCAACACAGAAAAAGGAATCGGTAAAGAGTTGAAGCTTCTTATGTTCACTTTGCATTAATGCCCTTGGAAAAGGCAAGAAACTACTTCTCCCTGCACTCTAAAATGTAACCATTTATAGATGCAAACTAGTGTAACAGTCACCAGCATATAAAATGAGATTGGAAAACAGTTCAAATTTCAGCTGAAATTGCTTATGTTCACTTTGCATTAATGCCGTTAGGAAAGACATGAAACTACTTCTCCCTGCACCATTTCATCGACATATAGATTAACAAAAATATTCCTCAGTACTGGTATTCTATGCCACCTAAGTGGAAACTTGAGCAAACTACGCTTTCTTAATTACGTTACAGGTCAAGTGGCCCATCGGGAAGGAGCTTAGGACATGCTGACCGCGTTTTGTTGGACATGACACTCCCACTACAATATTAATTATTATAGACTCAAATGACTAATGTTTATATAAACTAGAACCAAGTATAAGCTTATAAATTTAAATACTAAAAACTGAATAAATAAATGATCGATTTTGATATTATTTACTCGTGGTCGAGTGGTTAAAACGTTTGCTTTCTGACAATGAGACCCTGGTTCGAATCTCACCATGGTCGATTTGTCAGGCAGGTGACTTCTTGAGAAGGAGATCCCAGCGTGCGGCACCTTTAGAACGCACCTGAAAATCATATCCTTGGGAGCCGTCGTTGGTTGTGTTAGCACGATGTCACAAGTCATCGTGACCGAGTGTTTGAGTGCGCTGGCCTTGTTCAGACTGTTGAACACGCTAGATAACGCGCTTTCCCCCCGAAACTGTAACTAAGGTCCACTCGGCATAGTTGCAGTATAAACAACAGGTGGGTTCTGTAAGTGTTGAACAAATACATATGTGACTGAGCAGGCATCTGCAATGGGGATTAGCTAGTTACCCTAGTAGACTGGCATCCTCGGATACGAGTGTCTGCGCCATTTACATTTTTTACCTTCATCTTTGTTGTTACTTTCATAATGTTTCGTCCGTTTCGCCTTCTTCATGTATCTGTTGATCCGGAAAATCTTTAGGGAACTTCAAACTGAATCCTCTATGAGGCTCGATTGGTCTCGTTCCGCTGACCGTGTCAAGACACATCTTCATCTTGTTCATTTTAGTACTGCTCAAGTGTTGCTAGTACTGTTACCACTGACCCTGGAATTGAACTCACAATTTCCTTAATCACCAAATTCACGTACTAATTTAGTCTTTTATACTATTGCCCCGTTTATCGACAAACACCTGAAGAAGGCACAACTACTGAAAGGTGGAGATTCGTGTTTCACTCGATGTAAGTGGCTGCCCTGAAATGTGAACACTTGACCGATCCAGCTGCACTCAAGATGTGTACGCATGGGAAAGAGCCGTATGAACGTTATATCACCGCCCACCTCCCAGAGAGGACAATCTCTTACATTGAGATGAGATTGTGAGCGTCCACATTCGAAATGGGTATCTATACACGAGACCCTTTTCAGACGATTGTCACATGGTATAAAATTATTTGTTATGGATCTTTGTTTTTCCTTCTGTTTTTTTCTTTTGTTTTTTTAATTACTATAAATTTTTCTGAGATAGAATAGATGTAATGTGAAGCAAAGTGAATATATATGTAACATTCTGCAAGGGAATAGATGCAATTCTCTGCAAATAAATAGGTATAATGTTATGCAAGGCGATGGCTGTAATATTCCGCAAAGGAACGGACGTAATATTTTGGAAAGGAATGAATGCAATATTCTGCAAAGGAATAGATGTAATATTCTTCATGGAAATAGGTGTAATACTCTGTATAGAAATAGGTGTGATATTTTGCAAAGGAATTGATGTAATGTTCTGCATAGGAATGGATGTAATTTTCCAAAATTTATGACAAAATTTTTGAAATGTAAATTATTATTTTTGTTTTTTCTTGTTTTAGAACCTGAACTTAGCTTCCTGCAATGTTTCTCTGAGAATTGTTCCAGATGTTGACCATTTTAATATAATTGAGAAACTCGTAGAACCAGATTACGAAATAACAAAGGTAAGATCAAAACAGAAAACTATGTCCACTATAAAACAACTTTGATATCACAGAAGCATATAAGCCACAGCCTCTCTCCTTATTTCAAAAGGTAATATTAAGGAACAAATTCTTGGGTGGTACGATTAACATCCATCTTCCCAATTTGTTAAGAAAACTACAAATTTATCAAATTTTGGGGGGATTTGGGGGGATAAGTGGGTCTTATTTGCCATAAAATACAGTAAATACGCTTGGTTTAGTCTAATATTAAGCTAAATGGAGATTAGAAAGATTCTGCTGCGCCAATATTTCAAGTGGTAAGGGTTTACCTGTCTTACTGATTTTAAACGCTGACCATTTGGAGTTTTGAAAACTGGCGCAACGCAGTCTTCAGATGAAGAGTGCATGTCTGTATTGTATTGGAAATAAACATTTGAAATGTCGTCCTTCACCTCTGCTCGAATATCCGGTCTTTCACCAGTGGTCAAATATCCGCTTTCACCAGTGCTCGAATATCCGGTCTTTCACCAGTGTTCGGATATCCGGTCTTTCACCTGTGCACGAATATCTGGTCTTTCACCAGTGCTCGGATATCCGGTCTTTCACCAGTGATCGAATATCCGGTCTTTCGCCAGTGCTCGAATATCTGGTCTTTCACCTGTGCACGAATTTTAACCATTGGGAGAAATATACTACAAATGATTATACAAATGCCAAAATGCTCCTTTATAATATTGTCAGTATACACCCGGGTCTATCAGTTTTCCACTAGCTTGTCAGTTTCTAGCCTAACGCCATGGTTCAATTCCTGTTTGCGTCGGTCTGAACAGAACTGGAAAGGCCTGGTTTACACTCAACAAAGAAACTGAACGTCAAATACCGCACGGATAGAAAAGTCACAAATTCGACCGTCTCAAGATATCCCCCTTGACGAGGAAGAAAAGAAGTCTGTTGGTTCGACTAAGCAGGGTTCTTTATTCATGAATCAGTTCACTTGGCACTGTCTGGGAGTAAGATAAGTGACACTTGAAATATTTTCACTGCTACTGTCTTCTAACAGACCATATCTTCTCTTCATCGTTTCTTACTCTAACCATGACTGCCCTTATCCAGAATGCGTCCTGACTATATAAGCTTATAACCGGAATTCCCTAACTTCTGGTTGAGTTTCAAATGATCCCAATTTTTTATTTATTTATATATTTTATTTTATATTTTCTACTTATAGACAGTGGCCATAAACTAATATTTTGGAAACTCTAATATTTTGATTCTATAGGTGTCTCAGTTGGCTGTCCTAAAACAGCCGGTCGTTCCAATCACAGATAAAATCATTTACAGTCCACTTTATTACGTGTATGTCCTATCCAATCGAGTGGGGACCCATTGAGTCACAGTATAATACAGAGCGTGTTCTTTTAAGAGACCTGAATGCAAAGGATGAAGAAGACATAGGGAAATTATATTTCACAACCGGGAAACTGCAGATGATAAGTCTGCTCATTTTTTTTTTAATTTTTATTATTATTATCTTACCAGTAAGCTGGATGTGATAGTGGCGCAACAGTTACCAACATGGAAAGTAGAATTGGCGAACTGAGTTCAAATTTCAGCCCAGTTCACATTTGTACTAATGCTCTTGGGAAAAATCGTGGTTTTATCTTTTCTTCCCACAGCTATTGGTTAAATAGCAAGGCAGACTGGGCTTTCTAGTCGTGAGCATCAGGAGAATAAGTAGAGAAGGACTATGAATTCTAAGCTTTCAAAAAGGCAATGGGAAACCATTTCATGGTCTTTTTAAAAAATTCATGGCAATTCACAGATAAAGAAAAAAAGTTGGGATTGTTTAGACTATTATCCATAACTTTACTGTTTTTTATGACTACATTTTGGCCATGTTCCTATGTCTTTCTAGAATTGTCTGAAATTCTCATTGTTCCGACTATTATCCTTATCCCTGTTGTTTTTATTACTCCCTTTTTTCTGAAAATATTCTAAAATCAACGAGGAAGATAACTTGTTCAAACTTGTGGAATAATGACTGATGTAGAAGTCAAGTGACTTAACCTGTTAACATGGCTGCCTTCTTGTGTCTTGTAGCATTAGGCCGTTGTCATTGCTGGAGGCGGTTACGAACTTCCCAGTATTCCCGGATTGTAGGCGGCGTTACTTGACAACTGTTTGGGAAACCGTTGTCTATGGTCTTTTGCCTAATAAGGTGTATTGTGCGTCTTTTTGACCAGCAAAACGAATGTGGTCAGGGGAAGTTATGGCAGGGTTATTATCTAATTGGGATATGGATGTGAGGGCTGTCAATCTCATTGCTGCACAAGTCTCATCCGATTCATCAATGTCTATAGGGGAGGGTTCTATGGGGAATGTATCGAATTGTACTGTAGTAATTGGATTGCTGGAAATAGCATCAGAGGCAAAAATGTGTAATATTTACTTGTTATTTTTTTTAATCACCTTCGAAAAATTTTTATTTATTTTTTTTCTATTGTTTATTTTTTCTTCTTTTTTTTCTTTCTTCTCCAACAGGACATTCTTAGAATTATGGGGCTAATCTAGTCTCTCATCCGCAGGATAAAACACTGGTTTTGCCGATGCAATGAATGGAACAGCGTCAACCATTTTTGGCTAAGATTTCCTCGAGACTTCATACTGAATCAAATGCAACAAAACCAAACCAGATGAAGATTCTGTTACACTGAAGAATAAATGAGAATTTTTTTCTAAAATTCACACACACATACAGATCTTGACATAGACTAGATATAGACAGTGTTGTCATAGGAATCAACATAGCATGGTGACAGTTTCAAACCTTCAGTACAATCTTCAGACAAAAAGGATTGCATTGAGGTATAAAATTGACAATCACCATACAGTGCTGATTCCGATGTCTACTCTGTCCATATCTATAAATATTATATCTGATATTGATTGTTGTAATTGTAATGTTTTATACGCGCGCGCACACACACACACACACACATATATATATATATATATGTGTGAAGAAATATAGTCTTAAGATGTGCTATAATTATGGGATAAAGTGCTCAATATCAGAGATAGAGCGTGTGTAAATATAAAAGTGAACATTGAAGTCAACACTTAGAAGCGACAGTCTGTTTCATGCTAGACGCAATCGTCAGGTGGCCTGACGATTGCGTCTATCATGAAACAGACTGTCGCCTCTAAGTGTTGACTTCTATGTTCACTTTTATATGTATATATATGTGTGTGTATTGCTTGATTACTTCTTAATTCTCTTACTCTTCAAATGTGGAATGTATAACTATATTTAAATTCTATATTCCTATTTCTTCTCCATATTAATTTCATCTCATAACTGTCCCCTATTCTAAGAACTCATTTTTTGTTTTTCTTATTTTTTTATATACTTAATATGATTTGGTTTTCTTAATAATTTAACTTATCCTTAAAGTTATAAATGGAAAATTTATTTTATCTTTTAATTTTTTTATTCTTTAATATAATTTTTTAACATATTCTTACTTAATAGAAATTATCTAAATATAATTTATTGTTAATCTTGTTAATATATCTCTTTTGTAAGTTTAATTTGTTATTTTTTAAAAGTTTGTGCTTACTTGTTTTTGCTTGTTCCAAAAATTTCGTTCTTAAGGAGATCGTCAAGTTTCGATTTTCCGGAGCGATGGTGATACGTTGTTTTGTGTTCATTTTTACTACTGCTACTTGCTACTCTACTCTACTGACTCTACTCTACTGAGCGCCCTCTCTTGTGGTGGAAGGGCCGTTTTTATAATTAGATTTTAGAATGATGAAATATCTTTCTCATCTTTCATCACTGTTGTTTTTAGGATGATGAAATTTTTTTATCTTTATTTCAGGGATAATATTTCCTACCATCACTGATGGCAAGGCTATTGTTAAAATAATGAAATATCATCACCATTCTGGATCATATATATATATATATATATATATATATATATATATATATATATATTATGAAATGGACAAATCCGACAATTATTTTTAAGAGATTTTTATGTTTATACATTCTTTTTACAGATACAAATATTTAAGTAAATGCTCTGTTTATAATAAACAGTATTAAACAACATTTACCGGCCTGAATGTCCAAGAATCCTGTCCTCCGACAGGATTCAAACCTGTATCCTATACGGAACCGTCATTTAGCCTGACGTGCTCTTAACCGATCGAGCCACAGAGGATCGTTCGATTAGCAAGGTCGAATAAACTGCCTTTAAACTTCAATCTTCCATGATTCTCTCACGTACATTCATATCTGCTCATGACATATCAAACTTAAACAGATGACGTCACACATTATGAAATGGACAAAGTCCAACAATTATTTTTAAGACATTTTTATGTTTATACATTCTTTTTATAGATACAAATATTTAAATTCGACCTGGCTAATCGAACGATTCTCTGTGGCTCGATCGGTTAAGAGCACGTCAGGTTAAATGACGATTCCGTATAGGATACAGGTTCGAATCTTGTCGGAGAACGAATATTTTCTATGAAAATTTCTCGGACATTCAAGACGGTAAATGTTGTTTAATACTGTTTATTATAAACAGAGCATTTACTTAAATGGTTGTATCTATAAAAAGAATGTATAAACATAAGAATGTCTTTAAAATATATATACATATATATATAGGTAATAATCCCTCTTTTATATAAGTTACGTTAAAGACGCCTGAAAAGGTACTGCGATTAAGCTTTTTATTTTTTCATGTGATCGTACAAGCGTTTCCTTATTTGAACACAAAATGTGTAAAAACTGTCTAAATGTTCTTCATTTCAGAGCGCCTTCGGCTATACTTTTAACCATTATCAAGGATGATTTTATTTTTATTTTTTATCTGAATGCATGGGCTGTGTGTATGTATATTGTAAGTAGAGTTATAGGGATGTTTTATTTTCCAAACACGTTTAGCACGTTGTGGCTGTGTTCGTAATTAATGTTATTGAGTGTTGGCTTTTTTCTTTTATTATCAGGGCTTCTATTATTTTAAATCATCTTTTACACGTGGATGAGATTATTATGCTTGTATTTTCTACTAGTATGTTTCGGATGGAGGATGGTAGGTTTGTGTGTGTGTGTTTAAATGATTTCTAATGGAGCTGTGGTCGGATAGGTGTAACGTAAGTCGTCTGGATAGGCATGTAATAGTGTGACCGATGTAATTATTTACGAGTTTGATTTGATATGAACACAAGAAAACTTAAAATAAAGCTTAATCGCATCACCTCTCAGTCGTCTTTAACGAAACTTATATATATATATACATATTGAAATTACATCTTATTTTATCATGTGATTAAAATTTTTTGTATAAATTAAATGTCAATAAATTAAGTCAAAATTACGATAAATTTCTGTTCTAATCAAGAACTTTATTAAACAACTAACAATTTGCCTGCCAAATTCTTGGTTTGTTGTCATGATTAATTTTTTTTCCTTCCTTTCAAATCAAAATCGGTAAATTTGCTTTTCAATCCCAAAGCTAATTTTTTCTAAAATCGCCATATTTCCGTATAAATGTACATGCTGAACTCGAATTAACAATTATAATTATGATAAAACCTACCGTTTTGGAGTTATCGACCAGGAAAAAATCGGATTTAATCGCGGTCATTCGCCCACCATGACCAGCTTTTGTGTAATTAGATTCACTCCGGATCACTTTCCTTGCGCAAGCATAAATTTTGGCCTATTTACTGCTTTTACTGTTGTAACAACCGGTAAATTACTACGCACTTAAGTTGTGTCGAAAAGCAATGACAAGTTTTATTTTGTTTTTTTCTACAACTGTCGTTTTTTTTCTTTTTCTTTTTATAGTAAATCTTTCTTTTTAAATTAAAAAAAAGCATAAATTAAATAATAAAATATAGCATTTTGTAAATAATCAAGCTCTTTACAAAGTTCGCGCATTCATTATTATTTCGTTTCTAGCATTATTTTTATTTTGTAATTTTATTTTGTAGATAATCATGCTCTTTACAAAGTTCGATTATATGCGATTTTTTTTTTCTGGTCGATATCTCCAAAATGGTAGGTTTTATTGTAATTGTTAATTCAAATTCAGAATGTACATTTATACGGAAATATGACGATTTCGAAAAATATTAATAGATATTTAGCTTGGGGATTGAAAAGCAAATTTACCTCAGAATCTTTCACGGAACTTTACAAGACGAATTCTCCACAAAATTATAAAACAAATTATATAAATCAAAAAATTTTCTGTTTCACACAAAAGAAAATAATGATTTGCAAGCTAGTTTACAACAAAGTGTTGTAATGAATTTAATAAGGATGACGTGTCTGTAGAAGACTGTGGGTACGTGTTGTTGAATTAGGGACACGTGCTAGAAGAAGGTCCAACTACAAGAACATGTCGAACTCAGGTTGAATCCAACCAAAGATGTAAAGAAAACAAACAAGACCGATGTATATCTATAAACAAATATATGTATTAAACAACAAATTTACAAGTAACAATTACATCAACATTTGTGCTTGTGTTTGCACGTAAAGAGTTTGTATTTTGGTGAATGTTTGTACGTACGTGTATGTGTGTATAATGTTCACGGCGTCTCCCACAAATGGGAAAACGTTATCTTCTACGAGAGATCACATTTTTAAATGTGTCCGCTGAAATGCAAATTGAAAAAGAGAACGAGGCAAGAAGTCGCCCAGTATTTATTGTGTAGGGAGAGCGTCTCCTAGTGAACAATTAGGAAATTAAGGAGGAGCTATCTCCGACATGTCCTATGGTTCAACAATGTAGAGATAACAATATAGTTAAATTCCCAGATCAATTCTGTGGATAAGACAAATTGGTATAAAATGACAATTGAAAAAAAAATCTTAGATTTTGCCGACGCGTTTCGTCTTCCGACTTTTTCAAGGCAAAAATGAAATCGAAATGTCTTTGTTGTTATAGTTACATTAACAAATCCAAATTTAAAAAGATAGACACTTCTGTCTAAGCCTTTTTCTGGTTAATGTAAATTCCCTTTATTCAAAGAGATTTTTGCTTCCAATTGTCATTTTATACCAATTTGTTTTGTCCACAGAATTGATCTGGAAATTCAACTGTATTGTTGACATGAAAAAAAAACTCTTAGTATAAAGGAAATATACATTTTCCAGCCTTCCTCAGGATTTTATTGTATACAGTGGTCTTCAGGTGTATCTCTATACATTATTCAAATTATTATCTTCATCCTTGTTGTTTTTATCCCAACATTTCAAAAGATATGTTCTCCAGCCTTCCTCATCCACATTTCAAATTATATTTTTCTGGCCATCCTTTACAAAATTTAAGAACATATGTCAAAGTGTTACAACAAAAAAGCAACAAATGCAATGATACTAAGTCGGATTTACCAACATATATATATATATATATATATATTATGCCTTTAAATCCCTTGAGGAACATAGGACCGCAAGATATCATTGTGGTTCGTATAACAAGTCATTTTTTTTTTTTTTTTTTAAGTAGTTTGTTAGGCTACTGTCAACCCCCACCCCCGACCTGGAGGATCAGGTTTTGAATTCAGAGTTGTCCTTATCCTAAATCAGTTACCACCCAAGGCTATAGAACATGGTCTGTCAGGCTACGTATTTACCTATAGCTGGGGGGAGAAGAAGAGGATTCATAACATTCCCAAGGGTATTAACACGTAAGAAAGACGTAAGCACGTTAGCAAAAGAACATTTCTTTTGCAAAACTTTGAACAGTTAGTCCTAAATTTTTAAAGATGAAAAATGGTTGTTTGGTTGATTTTTTAACGGCCTATAACACAGATATATTTTCAAGAATTGTGTGTGTGTGTGTGTGTGTGTGACTAAGTCCCTGTAGAAGGGTAGACTGGACAAGTATTCTACCTACCATATCCTAGAGCAAAAAGAGGAAGATTATCTCCAAGGTTTTACAGTCCTGAAACAGCACAACCCGTAGCATCTTGGCAGACCAAGAGGGGGCAATCCCCCACATCAACATTTTATTTAATTCTTACTTTCATCTATTTATACACCATTTTCAACCAGCTTCAAAAGACTTTTTCTTTCCTTTCTACATTATTTTCGTTTCCTCTCTCACTCTTTTCACTTTCTGCTTCTTTTTCTTCCTTTCTTTTTCCCGCTAACTTTTTCACTCCTTTCGTCTCCAATTCATCTTTCCTCCTCTCTTTCACCAACATTTTCTGTTTTCCTCCTTTTCACTCTTCCTTTTTCCCTCCTTTCCTCTTTCTCATTCGCTACTTGTCTTATTCTATCTCTCTTTTTTGTCGATGCTGTTGAGTTGAGGAAAATTTAGATTTATTGCGCTTATTAAAGTCTCTACTCCAGTAGCACAAGGAAAAGCAGAGGCAACAAACTTTTTCACATATAAATGACGCATTGTCATCCTTCCTAAAGGCAAAAAGAGAAAAGGAATACATTTCAACACGGAAATATTTTCATGTATTTTTATATAAACAAATAAATGATTAATAAAAGAGACGAAATATACTAATGTATATACAAATACCTAAAGGGCAAAGGAAAAAGATTAAAACTTAGCTATTAGGAAATGTGTGCGTTTTTGAGTACGTGTCTGTAGACAATACCCCATGTAGTGAAGTGATTAAGTCCCCTTAGAAGAGAAGTCTGGACAGGTCTTCTACATATCACATTCTAGAAGGAAATGAGTGAAAAGAGGAAAAGGGAGCTTATGTCAGTGCTTTTATAGTCCTGGAACATTTGGCCTGACTGACCAAGTGGGGGTAATACCGACAGATGTTTCCCATATTCTTCACTTTGAACCGTTTCATAAACCCAGTCCTAATATAAATGCATCGTAAAAGTAATGACATAAAACAAATATTTCAAAAGTGAAGTAGATCATTATGCCCTGCCATTACCTCAGGTAAATAATGTGTCAGTTCTTTTTAACTGAGGGGAAAGACGAGAAAATATCACATCGGTTCACAGTTCTTTCTAGTCTTTTGAACAAGAGGTTTATCCTGTGTTACCTGTTTAGAATTGGGTTTCTCGTTCGTTTTAGTGTTTCAATTCTCATTCACTTCCAGTAGTCCCTTGCATCTTAGTGGCATTATAGCCTTTCTTGGGTGAATTCATTAAAAAAAAAACATCGGACAGAGAAAAAGAAAAATCTTTTGTTTCTATTTCACTTCTAGTAGCCACTTGCATCTTAGTGGCATTATCGCCTTTCTTGGGTGAATTCATTAAAAAAAAAACATCGGAAAGAGATAAAGAAAAATCTTTTGATTCTATTTCACTTCTAGTAGCCTCTTGTGCCTTAGTGGCATTATAGCCTTTCTGGGGTGAATTCATTAAAAAAAAAAAAACATCGGAGAGACATAAAGAAAATCTTTTGTTTCTATTTCACTTCTAGTAGCCTCTTGCATCTTAGTGGCATTATAGCCTTTCTTGTGTGAATTCATTAAAAAAAAACATCGGACAGAGATGAAGAGAAATCTTTTGATTCTATTTCGCTTCTAGTAGTCTTTTGTGTCTTAGTGGCATTATAGCTTTTCTTGAGTGAATTCATTAAAAAAAAACATCGGACAGAGATAAAGAAAAATCTTTTGATTCTATTTCACTTCTAGTAGCCTCTTGTGCCTTAGTGGCATTATAGCCTTTCTGGGGTGAATTCATTAAAAAAAAAAAAAACATCGGAGAGACATAAAGAAAATCTTTTGATTCTATTTCACTTCTAGTAGCCTCTTGCATCTTAGTGGCATTATAGCCTTTCTTGGGTGAATTCATTAAAAAAAAACATCGGACAGAGATAAAGAAAAATCTTTTGATTCTATTTCGCTTCTAGTAGTCTTTTGTGTCTTAGTGGCATTATAGCTTTTCTTGAGTGAATTGATTAAAAAAAAAACATCTGACAGAGATAAAGAAAAATCTTTTGATTCTATTTCATTTCTAGTAGCCTCTTGCGTCTTAGTGACAACATAGCCTTTCTTAGGTGAATTCATTAAAAACAAGACATCGGACAGAGATAATGAAAAATCTTTTGTTTCTGTTTCACTTCTAGTAGCCTCTTGCGTCTTAGTGGCATTATAGCCTTTCTTGAGTAAATTCATTTAAAAAAAACATCAGACAGAGATAACGAAAAATCTTGTGATACTATTTCACCTCTAGTAGTCTCTTGCATCTTAGTGGCATTATAGCCTTTCTTGAGTGAATTCATTAAAAAAAAAACATCGGACAGAAATAAAGAAAAATCTTTTGATTCTATTTCACTTCTAGTAGCCTCTTGCGTCTTAGTGGCATTATAGCCTTTCTGGGGTGAATTCATTAAAAAAAATCGGACAGAGATAAAGAAAAAATCTTTTGATTCTATTTCATTTCTAGTAGCCTCTTGCATCTCAGTGGCATTATAGCCTTTCTGGGGTGAATTCATTAAAAAAAAAACATCAGACCGAGATAAAGAAAAATCTTTTGATTCTATATCACTTCTAGTAGTCTTTTGTGTCTTAGTGGCATTATAGCCTTTCTTGGGTGAATTCATTAAAAAAAACATCAGACAGAGATAAGGAAACATCTTTTGTTTCTATTTGACTTCTAGTAGCCTCTTGCGTTTTAGTGGCATTATAGCCTTTCTTGGATGAATTCATTAAAAAAAAACATCAGACAGAGATAAAAAAATCTTTTGATTCTATTTTACTTCTAGTAGCCTCTTGCATCTCAGTGGCATTATAGCCTTTCTTGGGTGAATTCATTAAAAAAATCATCGAACAGAGATAAAGAAAAATCTTTTGATTCTATTTCACTTCTAGTAGCCTCTTGCGTCTTAGTGGCATTATAGCCTTTATTGGGTGAATTCATTAAAAAAATCATCGAACAGAGATAAAGAAAAATCTTTTGATTCTATTTCACTTCTAGTAGCCTCTTGCGTCTTAGTGGCATTATAGCCTTTCTTGGGTGAATTCATTAAAAAAATCATCGAACAGAGATAAAGAAAAATCTTTTGATTCTATTTCACTTCTAGTAGCCTCTTGCGTCTTAGTGGCATTATAGCCTTTCTTGGGTGAATTCATTAAAAAAATCATCGAACAGAGATAAAGAAAAATCTTTTGATTCTATTTCACTTCTAGTAGCCTCTTGCGTCTTAGTGGCATTATAGCCTTTATTGGGTGAATTCATTAAAAAAACATCAGAAATAAAGAAAAATCTTTTGATTCTATTTCGCTTCTAGTAGTCTTTTGTGTCTTCGTGGCATTATACCTTTTCTTGAGTGAATTCATTAAAAAAAAACATCGGACAGAGATAAAGAAAAATCTTTTGATTATATTTTATTTCTAGTAGCCTCTTGCATCTTAGTGGCATTATGGTATTTCTTGAGTGAATTCATTAAAAAAAAAAAACATCGGACAGAGATAAAGAAAAATCTTTTGATTATATTTTATTTCTAGTAGCCTCTTGCATCTTAGTGGCATTATGGCATTTCTTGAGTGAATTCATTAAAAAAAAAAAAAATCGGACATAGATAAAGAAAAATCTTTTGATTATATTTTATTTCTAGTAGCCTCTTGCATCTTAGTGGCATTATGGCATTTCTTGAGTGAATTCATTAAAAAAAAAAACATCGGACAGAGATAAAGAAAAATCTTTTGATTCTATTTCACTTCTAGTAGCCTCTGGTGTCTTAGTGGCATTATAGACTTTCTGGGGTGAATTCATTAAAAAAAGACATCGGACAGAGATAAAGAAAAAATCTTTTGATTCTATTTCATTTCTAGTAGCCTTTTGCATCTCAGTGGCATTATAGCCTTTCTGGGGTGAATTCATTAAAAAAAAAAACATCAGACCGAGATAAAGAAAAATCTTTTGATTCTATTTCACTTCTAGTAGTCTTTTGTGTCTTAGTGGCATTATAGCCTTTCTTGGGTGAATTCATTAAAAAAAAACATCAGACCGAGATAAAGAAAAATCTTTTGATTCTATTTCACTTCTAGTAGCTTATTGTGTCTTAGTGGCATTATAGCCTTTCTTAGGTGAATTCATTAAAAAAAGCATCGGACACCGTAAAGAAGGAGAGAGAGAAAGAAAATGCTATCAGACGCTTATCCCCTACTTTAGTGAAAAGAAAGGAAGGAAGAAGAAAAAATTGAAGTAAAAAAGAACGAAAGAGATAGGAAAGAAAAGAAATATTGCTTGTAAATTAACAGAGCTTTATCTTTATAATTCTTTTTACTCTTTATCTAATGTTTCATTGATAAATATTCATCATTAATTAAATCTAATTTATTTTCAGTCAATATACAAAGAGGGAATTGAGAACAATGGGAAATAAAATAACAAAAGACAATTGTTTCCCAAACTTATTTAATGATGAAATTTAAACTTCTATTGAAATAAGTGATGATAAATTAACATTTTATTCACATGCAGTTAGCTGGTAATTAAAAATGTCTTATTTTGATGAAAACTATTATAAAAAGTGTAATCATCATTATAACTTAGAACCCTGGCATGCACTTCATTTTTTCTCTGTATAATGTTACTGGATGATAATTAAGATATGAAAAAAAACAATTGAAAATTAAAAGATGTTAGTTAGGTATCTGTCTATATCTCTGAGAAGTGGTATTATGATTATTTACATTACCCGGCCTTCTTCAGGTGATTGGAATTTCGAACCAAACCCTTTTTGTCCACCAGCGTAGATTGTTCTAGTTCCACATGCCTTGCCTCTTCCCGATGTCTCAGTTATTTCCCTTTAGTTCAACTCTTCAAGTTGAAATCCTGTCCCAGAAATTCATACAAAGATCTCCTTGAGGACATCTTTGTATGAATTTCTGGGACAAGATTTCAAAGACACATGGCCCAGTGGATAAAGACGTTGGTTAGATCCAGTGACTAAACCCAAACAGTTGTGAGTTCAATACCAGGCTACATCAGTGGTGAACCAAAAAACTTGGAGAGTTGAGCTAAAGGGGAATAACTGGGACATCTAGAAGATGCATGACATGTGTAACTAGAACAATCTACTCCAGTAGACGAAATAAAGGGTTGTTCGAAATTCGAAAAATCACCTGAAGAGGGCCGGAGAGTACAACGCCCAAAACGCTGTAAATATGACAAGATGAGGATAACAGTCCGAATAATGTAAATTATAGTAGTTAGGATATAAAAGTGAAAGTATTAAAATTGAGAAGCAGTAAGTGAAACTAGTAAAAATTTATGTGGAAAAAATACAACCCTGTGCTCCTTACCATGACTAAGATTGAAATTGTTAACCAATAATGTGTTCAGATGAGATATTTTTTTGATAATCTTGATGGCATTACTGAGTCTAGCTCA